GATGATTCAGGTATAATTATAATTTACCTAAGAATCACTACAATTCAACGATTATATTTAACAAATTATCCATGCAAATACCTAATCGTCACATAATACTGGGTTACCAATCCGATATGCAATTATAATAAAAGAATTTTTAATCAGCAATTATTTAAGTTGTCTTAGTTATACCTATTTGTACCAGTTCTCCTCTATCTCATAGTTGTACCAATTGTACTAGTTGTCCTCTTATCTCTTAGTTGTACCATTCGTACCAGTTGTCCTCCTCTGCAGATTTGGTGATGAACTCGGATTTTAATTCTAATTTACCTAAGAATCACTACGATTCAACAACTATATTCGATAAATTATCTATGCAAAGACCTAATCATGGGTAACCAACCCGATTTGCATACCGAACAAGCAATTTTGGCAAATCCAATCCCTAAATTGTGAAATCCATAAATCTCTAAATAAAAACCTATTTGGGGTTTGAAGCTTCAACAATTGTGGTTGGAAGAGAAGATGAAGATAAGAAACTGATTACAGAGAATGAAGAGACAAAGTTTGGATGATGAAGATATGATTTTGGTGATTTTATCGTCGATGATGAAGATGAATAGAGAAAAAAAAATGATAATTAAAGAAAAAGAATTAAAAAATTAAAAGAAATTGATTTTTTTTAGAAAGAAATTGAATTTTTTATGGATTATCAGGTGGGCTTAAAACGGGTGGGTTTTACCCTGGTATTTTCGTGATTATGAAAACATATAAGGAGAAGGATATAATTTCCAGGGTTTAAGTTAATAAAAATAATTAAAAAGAAATTAATTATTAGACAGATGGCTTTTTAGCTTACTTTTTTGCGGTTTATGGCTTTTTAGCCGCGCACTCGCTTGACCGAAGCTAAGAGCTCTTGTGGAGATTGAAAAGAGATTGTGCAAATAAGACGTATCTAAAATTAAAATTAGAGTTGAGACAAAAAGTTTGACTCATAGCCAAACCATCAAGTTTTAAACCGGGATAAATAAAATCTGACAGAAGTAGAATTCAAGTCTAAAAACTTTTGCTTAGCAAATCTAAACCGATAGCCGTTAAGAACAAGAGTACAAGACAATCCCGAGTTTGTTGCTATTTCGCGATCCTTGAAAGGCCAGATTTTTTTAGAGGTTACTGTTATTTCTGATGCAAATCGTTTTCCTTTTTTTTTCTGGGTTCAATAAAGTTTTTTTTTGTTTATTCGATTTAAAAATTTCGTGATGAAATTTTTCACGATGATGATAAAAATGGAACAGATATGAGCAAGAAAAATCTGGCGATTCTGATGCGAGCTAGGATGAGGTCGAACAATCCCACCAAATCTTCCCTCTCTCAATTTCCTGTAAGGTTTTTTTTTTTTTGAAAACCCTCTTTCTTCTTTGATTCTTACGAATTGTATTGATAAAAACACGATTGAGCCCAAATTCACCAAATATATGACCATGGAAATGAAACTGGAGCTTCAGATTTTGTAGTTTATGAGAAAGAAAAAGAAGGATTTGCTTCTTGAGCTTGAATCTAGTGTATTTGGTTTCTTGAATGGTTTTTTAAAGAAAAATATGAATATAATAAGGCCAATTTGTCAGGTTTTTCTTTGCCCCTAAAATAATAGTTGTTGACTTATTGTCAGAAAGAGATTCCATCTAATTCTCAAGAGAATACTTCTGGAGTTTACGTTTTGCGAAATTCCACTGAAGGAGTTGGGAATTCCAGTGATGTTGGTACCAAAGGAAGGTAATTTATTAGTACATTTGATCTTTGAAGAAATGAGTTTGGATTTTTTTTTCTGTTGTCTTAAAAATTGTTCTTTTTTTGTAATCTTTATGTTGTTTAGGGTATATGATGTAGTTCGTGAAACAATGCACTCAGCTATCTCGGCGAGTAAAACCGGTGTTTTGGACATAACTCTTAATGATTTTCAAGAGGTAAATGATCTCACATTGCTTCTTGATTTTGCTTCGATGTGTTTAGCCTTTGCATCGGATTACTTATGGTTAATATACTTCTAGGGATACTTTAGCCTCTCGCTTGAAGACCGTGAGAAACTATTGCTTGTGTTAGCCAAAGAATATGATGTGAACCGAGAGCAAGTCCGAGAACTCGTTAAGCAATATCTTGGACTTGAAAATCCAGCCAGTAAGTCTTTATTTGTATCTTTGATTGATATTCTTTTGATAATTTTCACATTGATAAGTGAGCGCTCTTTAGGTGACGATGGTCAACTTCAATCTCCAAAGAAGGAGGCTTTATCTTCTGTTTTCTATCGCATTGAGTGGAATCTTAGACATGCTCTCAAGCCGACATATGAAGTTCTCTTTGAGAGGTTGAATACACATCCAGGAGGGTTGAGATTTTTGTCCATCCTCCGTGCGGATCTTCTATCGATACTCACGTAAGTTTTCCCATCTTCTTATTATGTGACTGAGACTCAAATAGTTGAAGATTAGATGGTAAAAACTTTCCTGTTAAATCTGCCACTGTCACTGATGGTTGTAGAAAAGAAAATATGCCGTCTTTGAGAACATTAGATTCATATCTAAAGGAGAAACTCGGTATGTGGCTTAGCCCTGCCACTTTAGAGCTTCATCAAATTACTTGGGATGATCCTGCTTCATTGCTTGAGAAAATTGTCGCATATGAGGTATGCACTAGTAGATTTCCATTACAACAATCTCAGATGGTTACAACAAATTTTGTTTGGTCTAATAATGCCTTATTCATAAGGCGGTGCATCCTATTAGCAACCTCTTGGATCTTAAAAGAAGATTGGGAATAGGGCGTCGATGCTTTGGATATTTTCATCCATCTATTCCTGGTTAGTTTAGTTTCTTGAGACACATGTTTCTTTGATTGTAAGTTAAACACATTTCTTTGATCATCTTGCACCGTTACTTTCAGGTGAACCACTTATTTTTATCGAAGTTGCTCTAATGGAAACCGTTGCTCAGACAATTCAGGTCAAACTAATCTCGATCCTATGCTGCATAGTGTAGATTTTGTAGCTATGTGTCTAAATATTTCCTTGTACCGTGACAGGAAGTTCTTTGGGACAACCCTCCTATACCAGAGAACCAAGCAACATGTGCTTTGTTTTACTCGATTTCTTCAACTCAGGTATGTACATACTTAACCATGATCTTACATTTGTTGTCTGCAGTTCTCACTCGTTTTCCAGTCCCTGTTGAATTCTTGTGCTCGCTGACCCCTATCTTATTGCAATTTGCAGCCCGGTTTGGCTGGAATAAACCTTGGTAAATTTCTGATCAAACGAGTGATTACGTTGGTGAAAAAAGAAATGCCACATGTTACTGTGAGTATTTAGACTAATTTGTATGCAGAATGTGTTACCGGAAAAAAGAGATTATCTGCTTGCTCAACAATATGTTTTTTGGTTGCAGACATTTGCAACACTTAGCCCCATTCCTGGATACATGCAATGGCTCCTCTCAAAGCTATCATCTCAGTCAAGATTTTCTGAAGGTGAGCACGGTGGTACACTGAGCAATTCACCTTCATCTACATTCAGCGAGAAAGTATTACTACCAGAAGAGGAACAAGCCCTCATGAGCCTATCAGAGTAAGATTTTTTTGTTTTTGTTTTCAATGCTTCTGGAGAAACTCATTGACCAAATTTTATTTATATACTTTTCTAAGGATCAACTCATCAATGATCTTGTATATGTAGTGATTCTTCTTCTGGTAGCAACGGCATGGAAGTTCTACTGAATTTGCTATCACAAAAAAACTGCGAATGGGCTACTTCGCCTCGTATATTGCCAGTTTTAGAACCTATTCTTATGCGGTTATGTGCTAGGTATGTTCATTTCTTGTAAATCTAATGGTTAACATGAATCATACAGGCATAAACTCTAATGTTTTGTATTGGTTTTCCCAATAGGTACCTCTTGCAGGAGAAGAAGAGAGGAAAAGCTTTGGACTCTGTTGCTAACTTCCACTTGCAAAATGGAGCGGTAAGTTCAGTGAATGCAGATAGTGTTTAGACAAAACAGAGTGATTGAGATTGATAAGGTTTCTTGTTTGTGATATGTTTACATACATAGATGGTTGAAAGAATAAATTGGATGGCTGATCGATCAGAGAAAGGTATTCATCAAAGTGGAGGCATTATGGTTAACTATGTGTATAGGTATAAGTAAACTTTTATTTCAAGTTATTCAGCTACAAAGCTTTCACTTTTCTTTTGGCTCTAAACCTCGTCTTAATCGGTTAATGACAGGTTAGACAATATCGAAGACTATGCTCAATCGTATTTTGGGTCGGGAAAAATCCATGCTTCTCCTGGTATCCATTCCCGTCTCTAAGTAACTCCGCAAAAGCAGATTGGTTTTGATCATTTTCACAGATAAGATTCGATTCTTGATTAATTTGGTCATTCTCAAAAGTAATGGTTTAGGATTTAAGGTATTAACACAAGCACAATGGTATATATGTATTTATGTACAAACGGTTTTATGTGAGACTATATATATATGAGTGTGATTTGAAGAGAAATGAGCATTCACTTATCGGGATCAGTTTCGACATGGCTAGTCTCTAAGACGTATTCACGCATGAGTTTTGTGTTAGATCGATCCACGTTCTGCAATTTTTCACAAAACATGATGCTTTTGTTACATTTTGCATACTTACACTCATATCTATAGAGAGACTAATTATGGATAGAAGAGAGAAACCTTGGAGGCGAGACGCATTAAGTTGTCCCATTCGAAATCGTTTTTACAATAAGCAGACCGTACCTACGTTACGTACGGTAACAAAAGGTTTAAAACACACACACAAAAAAAAATGTATTTTGAGTTCTGAAAATGTATTAAAGGAGAAGCTTAGCTTACCTCTAAAATTCGGAGGGCTTGCATTGGTCGTGAAACGAAAACAGAGTTTTATTAGTTTGTTATATGTACACAAGATATACGAAAATAAACTTTGTTTAGTAATCTGCAAAAATGATTTTGAAGAAGTTTTCTTTGCAAAGAGTTGTACAAATACGTAAAGTGAAAGTTTCATTACACGAAAAAAAATGTTTGTAAAAAGCAAAGAGATTCCGTCTAAAACATATAGGAGAAAAAATGAATATTATACAGTATATAATAAAGTGTTTCTGGGTACCTAAGTTCATGTGACGTGAAGAGCGACGCATGAGGGCAGCGCAGAATTTATCGCCATCACTTACAGAGTTTGTATCTAAGAATTCTCTTAACTCCATATAAGCCTCAGGGTTATAACTCTGTCATTCATTAATATAAACTTTAGATTATAATTATCTTAATCTAAACACATGATTAAAGAACAAATTGCTATCGAATTGACCTCTAGCTGAGCAGACACTATCCTCACTGCAACGTAAGTAAAAAAGTCATGAAGATGCTTCGCTGCCTTAGCCTCCGGTGAAGCTTCTCCAAATCCTAATTTTCAATTACAAACAAAAGTAGACATTATAATCTACATATAAGAATTGTGTATGGATATTTAAAATCACATTTGACGAATAATATGACATACCGGGAACGTACATCTTGTTAGAACAAATGCGAGTTGGTTTGCGATTTCGCGAAATCCGCGATAATGGAAAAGAAAGAAAAGGTCTATTTCCAAATTTTGGATTTAAGTAAGAGAGGTAAGAGTTATGAAGAAGGAGAGAAGAAGATGACTCCATTAGATACATTCGATGAAGAATTTTCGTAGAAGAGGCATATATTGTTTTACTATTTGGTCGTATATAACAGAAATGTTTTGGTTCACACATTAAAATATCTGAGGATATGGATGAATAAAATATCTTCTATATATGTGGAAGTATAAAGATAAAACATAAATCTTTCCATAAATATTTTAAAAAACATATCATCAGATCATATCATGTTAATAGATTATGGCAAAACTAAACGGCAACAAAATTAAACGGCCAATTCAAATGAAGGCAAAACTAAGAGCAAGTTTAAGTTCTTCAGATATATCCTTGTGCAGTCCACTTCTCGTCCAAGTAATCACTAACCAGGAGCCTGACATTGCAACTCGATAACTTGTTGTAGAGTTCAAAGATCTCCAAGATATGGTCAGACACTTCAGAGTTTCTGAGCTGTGTAGGTTCATTCTCTTCAATGTAAACATCCATCCTCTTCAAACACGGAAAATAGTCCAAGAAATGCTTTATCATTGTCATCTCTTTCATTGTTGCTCGAAACCTTTGAATCTCCAACCTATTCACTGGACATGATGTGAGTGAACGACCTTTGTCCTCCCGAGAAATGCAGGCACAAGCATCCCCACATTTATCTGTTACATAGTGTAATAGACCCTGAAAGCAAGACATAAGGACGTTTTCATGTTAAGTAAAAACTTCAGTCTGTCTTTAACACATGTTGTTTTTTCTTCATGGTTTGCAATTTCTACCTCCATGATTATAGTTTCTAAACGTGGACAATTCCTTAGAAGAACTGGCATTGCTTGCCACCCTCTACCCTCGTCACTTGTAACACCTAAGAATTTGAGGTTGTTGAACACTGGCATTGTTTCACAGCATAGAGAAAGCACCTGCAAAAAAACAAGAACTATACATTTTGCTACTACTGTTTCACAAGTAGTAGAAGACCAAGAAAGAACATTAACAGATAAACTGACCTCAAGAGTATCAGAATTTAAGGAAAGTTTCTGAACATTTTGTATGCCAATCATGAGCTTCACCACATTGCCAGATTGGAAGACAACATTATCCTCCTCACCCTCTAACAAATCATTATTTGGCTCTCTTACTCGCTTGATTAGATCATCAGTTACTATAAGACTGAGTGAAGCCTGAACTAATTTCTTCATATTAACTAATGGATAGTCTTCCGCAACTACATCAAAGTAGCTCAAGCACAGAAGACTTGGAGTATCAAAAGAAACGGTCTTTGGACTTTCAAAGGATGTCACGGCTTCACAACCGGTGCCGTGGAGAGTTAGTTTTCTTAGGCTTGCACTTGACACGGATACATCCAAATCTTGCCACTCCATATTAGCCATTCGTAATTCCTCAAGCACAGGGAAAGAAGAAACAAACTTGTCAATCTTACCACAAAGAATCAAGTCCGAGTCAATATAAAGACTTTTAAGCATTGGTAAAGAAGATCCCATAACTCCATGCCACCAGTAAACACAGTGTTCACTTCTTAACTTTAGCTTAACCAGTGTACTACAAAAGAACAACTCTTTAGGCAGATGATACATATCTTCTTCGGTATCCTCGAAAGAAAAATCAGTGAACAGATTAAGGTCTGAAACACCACGCTGCAGCACATTACATATCCAACGATTCACAATATCTGGATGGACACCAGTTATACACTTTAGAGAGAACTTGTTGATAGGAGAATCACCCTGCATAGCCAGTACACCATCCACGAAATTGACGAAGCTCTGTCGAATTTCGACCCTTTCCCCTTTCTTATCCTCCGGATGAAGAAAGACAGAGTCATCAATGTCGAGATTAGGAACAAGTTTCCACAGATTGAGCCATCTCTTTGAGAGAACCGAGGTCAAAGCAGCATGCTTTGTCGGAAGGAAGGACAAAATCTGACAAAGAAGCTCGTCTTGTAGATTGCTGATACGATCCATCTTCTTCTGTGCACGGGAATCAAAGGTCGAGAGCAAGTGGTCAAACCGTCCCTGCTTCAAACATCAAATTTAACAACTTGTCCTTAAATGAGACATGGGAACAGACAAATAGAATAGAATCAGTAGAAGCATAGGAGATGAGTAAACTTGAGCATTTACCTCGTTACAAAGGCCAAACCCAACACCTAAATTTAGGGTTTTCAGTGAGTGAGAAGAGACTACTAAATATATGGCCCTACAAGCGAAGATAGAGGGAAAAGTCCGAGGCTTTCACTTGGAGAAGACATGGAACCAATTTTAAGAGGGAGACAGCAGAAAAAGAAGAGCCCAGAACCAAATTGATAGAAATTGCATGGCGGGTGAGGAAATGAAGGTTTAGAATTGAAGGTGGCTATGGAGTCGAGAGACTCTCTAGTGTAAATATCGGTGCTTTTGGAAAACCGCCTGTTTAATATAGTAACCAAACCGGGACTACAAAACTTTGGGCTACGAGCGTACCAATATAATAAGGCACGCTCCAGTAGAGATGCGTAGAGATACGGGCTAACCCGCGTTTAAGTAATCTGATTCGATGCGGATTTAATTTTTTTTCGAGCCTGGTGGATTGGCTAATCCTAAACTGCGGTCCTAAATTGATGTGTCCAAGTTCGACCCGTCTATATGTTACGGTTTTGCGGGTTGACCCACAGGTTCATACTTTCTTCTTTATCTTAAAATTTTTATGACATTTAGATTTATAGAACCACAAAATCTGCTAGAAAAGAATGAAGTTTTGCTCGTAACTGAATCACAATATGCATAAGAAACAAGACTAAAGAAAATTCTTGTCTAAGTAAATTCGATGAACAAATAAACGAATTCGATAAACCTCTTATAAAAAATCCTATCTCTAAGATGCCATAAGATTTGAAATCAATTTACCGGTAAGAATAGACATTTAGTTTTGAAAAGCAAATAAATGAATTACAAATAATGATACACATCAAAACTGGTAATTTAAACTAGAAAACCATCAAAGATATAAGCAACAAGACATTCACATATAAAATTAAAAAAAAAAATAGATGAACAAAGCTTATTTGTTAGTCCAGCGTACAAACAAATGTGATTGTCAAGCAAAACTATTTATTGTCAATTAAAGATTGAAGCAATTCTAAATTACTTTTGCATCGTTGCAGACAAAATAAAAACCACGTACGTGATTTAGTCGATGAGCAAAACCAACCAAAAACAAGCAAATTTATGACATTAAACTGAAATTAAAACTCTAAAAAATACTAGTTTTTGGCTGGAAAAACAACGACCAGATTTTCTCCCAAATTCAAAAATCCAATCACAGAATCTGAATCGAATATAAAACACATACCAGCTTGATGATTCATTGATCTCATTGAAATGAAGTTATCACAAAGCCCAATAACTGAATTGTGTGACTCCACTAGGCTTCGATTCATTCCATGAAACTACTACTTCGAAATCCACCAATCCAAGATGACAAAATATTTCACTTTTCGAACTTTACAAGAAATCATCAAATTCTGCGGGTTAGACCGCAAACCCGTGGATCCGCTCTGATCCGACCCATAAAAATTCAACTTCCATGCGGATTTGGACCGCGAAACCCCCTTTTTATTTGGACAAATTTTATAGAGTTCAAATCTGCACCACTGCGGTTCTACTTGGGCCGAATCCGCGGATCATAACTCAATTTAACATAGAGATGTCAAGTTGGGCTTAAATCCGCGGGCTCGGCCC